TTGGCACTCTCCTCTTTCACCCTCATTAAGAGGTTCTTTAATTCCTCCTCACTTTCTGCCATCAGAGTGGTATCATCTGCATATTGGAGGTTGTTGATATTTCTTACAGCAATCTTAATTCTGGTTTGGGATTCCTCCAGTCCTGCCTTTCACATGATATATTCTGCATAAAAATTAAATATGCCAGGGGACAATATACAGCCTTGTCGTACTCCTTTCCCAATTTTGAAACAATCAGTTGTTCCATATCCAGTTCTAACTTTGTTTCCTGTCCCACGTATAGATTTCTCAGGAAATAGATAAGGTACAGATGTCACAAATTTTGCGCTATAGCAAGTGCCAATTGGATTGCAGCCTTTGAAATTGTCGTAGCCGTTTCATACACATTAATTATAAGTAACCATGGGTTTATCATATTTGGGCAGTCACATGATAACATTCCAAGTTAAATCACAGAGCTTTTTTGAACTGCAGCTTCACCATCCTTTTGCCAGCATGGACACTGCTTTAAAGCTCTGTCACATCACTAACTCCATAGTTGCTTCTCTGTGAATCCACTGCAAGGTAAAATGAGAGAGGCTGTGGGTTGCTTACTGGATGTTTATGTCTTGCTGAATGAGCTGATGGTCCTCTTGTAGCTTAAGCTTGCAGATCACTTTATCGTTGTATGAAACGGTTAGTGCTTTTAGCTGAACATTCCTTTGTGTAACAGCCAATTCACTGGCCGTCAGTGCTGCATTTTCCTCATATTGCTTTTTTAGTGTTTTTTCGTCAATGTGGTGTTTTAACGCAGGGATTCAATGTTTTTGTTTCCAAGAATAATCATGACTTCTTCAGCTGCTGGAATATATGGCAACTTTGGTCAGGCAAACTACAGTGCTGCCAAACTTGGCCTTTTGGGTCTTGCAAACACACTTGCAATTGAAGGGAGGAAGTATAACATCCATTGTAACACCATTGCTCCAACTGCGGGTTCAAGATTGACACAGACTGTTATGCCTCAGGGTAAGTAAGTTTACATGCTCTTAAGTAAATGGGCAGTTTTGCTTTGGTGAGATTGCTCTGTGGCTTCTTTGCTTCTGAATTTTATCTTGCCGATGAATGAAATCTGGATTTGGTCACTTGAAAATACATTGTATTGTACAGAGTCACAAAGTAAAATGCTTCCCAGTTTTTATATTTCTCAAACAAGACGCAGCACCTCTTTAGGACATTAACTGCCTTTGGGAAATGAAACCTGTGATGTTAAAGTTATTTACTTGAAATGATTTTTCTGGAATATAGCTTTTAAAAAGAAAAACAAATGAAATAGGGCAAATGTTAGAGAATATATTTGTCACTGGCTGTGTCAGCTCTTAGCAACAGGAAACTTTCAACTAGCAACATGCCTGTCTTCATCATTCACCGGTGATAAATTTTCCCAGCTATTGTGCTGGTCAGTGTTAGATGTAATGAAAATAATGTGTTTAAGATGACACTCCAGACAATGTAAACCTTTGATTTGGACTTGGGTATTTCTTACATTCCCTTAAATAAAAAAAGGAAACAGATCTGTGCACTTCAAAAACTCATCTTACTGGGTTTTGGACCAAGCTTTGAAATAACTGTAACATGTCACTTCACAGAGCAGTGAAAATTATGTCTTGCTTGAGCTTATGCTCAGTGAAAAAGGTCTGAAATTTTGACTTCTCTTAGGAAGATCCTTGGCTGCATTCAAAGCACTGCTGGGGTACTTTGTGTTGCCTATGGTTATGTACCTTTCCTTCACTACATAGGATATATGATGCTGAAATAGGCTTACATGCAAAAACTCTTTGGCTTAATCCACTTGCTAGTGCCTACTACGATCAACCATTTCAGTCAATGAAACTAACATAAGTGTGTTGACATACTGTGTTCCTATTGATTCAGTGAGTCTTCTCTACTTGGGACTAACAATTGGATTTAACCCTCTTTAATTCTGTGAGCATCTTCATAATGTCCCTGAGGTTGTGTTTATAGACACATATCAAAGAGCTTGCTGATGAAGTTCTGGGTCTTTGGTGAGTTGTCGCTTGAACACTACTCAGTGGAAAGTGAAAAATTCTGCATAGATGCAACATACAAAATAAAAAAATATTTCACAAACAACCTGAATAATTCTGAGCTCAGATCTAGATGAGCAATTCACCCACATTGTTTCAAATAAGCAGCCACATATTTTGGGTTCCCACTCATTGCAGTGAATCATCTTGGCTTACTACTCTTCTGCAAGTATGTGCTGTCCGGTTTTTAGGTTCTCTTGTTTAAGGTGCACACATACAGTAAATGCAGCAAACTGTGCTTTTCATGAACCAGCTGTGCCAGTTTTATAGATAAACAGTGCCTCAGAGGAAGAGAGCAAAATCTTTTCAGATGTGAGACAAGAAGAATTAAATACTCTGGAAAGGGTGGCAAAGACCTGTATAGGGCATATGGTGTGGGAAGTTCCCCTCCTGAGTTCTGGTGGACTGCCATCATTTTACATTTAATTGGATATTGATTTCCTGCTGTTTATGCCCTTTGTTCTAAATCTTAGGAAGGAATATGAGCTATTGTTGGACCTGCACCATTTAAAAAAAACTCCAGTTCCTTTCTCTTTCCTCATCTGTCTTCCTCCACTCTGCACACATGCACAAACACATCATTTCCCCCCTTAGATGTGGACATTTTTGTAGTCTTTCCCGTGCTGCTTTCCCATTACGAGAGGTAGAGTTGATGGGAACCAACATCATGCAGGAGGATGTCAGATCATGCCAAGGGACTTTCCCCCTTTTTCTGAGGCTCCTGCACCCTCTTGTAAATCTCTTCTTATGGGGCCACATCCTCATGGAGCAGACTTTGAAGACACAGAAGAGGCTGTGGATGTGGAAGGAATTGGCCTGCCCACCCGCCCCATCTGGTAGCTGGAAAGCGTTATGTCCATGGAAAAACTGAAATGAATATAGCCCAATACTTACCACGTATAGCAGAGGTGGATAGCCTCTTATGTAGTACTCAGAGTCATGGCAGAAAGCATGCTGTGTCTGATTTGCACAAAGTAAATAGCCAGTCTGTGGCTGATTACAGTGGTGCCTTGCTAGACGATGATAATCCGTTCCACTGAAATTGCTATTTAGCGAAATCATCGTCTAGCGAAAAGCATTTCCCCATTGGAATGCATTGAAACCTGTTTAATGCATTTCAGTGGGGAAGAATCATCATTGTCTAGCGAAGATTGGCCATAGGAAAGCCGCTTTGTGAACCGCCGATCAGCTGTTTAAATAGCTGTCTTGCGAAGCTTAGGTCCCGAAAACACCCATTTTGTGAGTGCGGAGGGAGCTGTCAAAATCATTGTCTAGTGAAAATCGGTTTGCGAAGCAAGGACCAAACATTGTCCAGCGAAATTCCCCTATAGGAATCACTGTTTTGTGAATCACTATAGTGATCGCAAAAAGTCAATGTCTAGCGAAAAAACTGTCATGCGGGGTAACTGTCTAGTGAGGCACCACTGTATTTGGTTCTTTGCTTATCTAACCTCACATGGTTGATTTATTCGGCAAGTCTGCATGGGACAGTTTAACATTTTGAATGTTTGTGAGATCTTACTAACCTATTTAGTTGGCATGTCAGCATGCTGTAGCATTCATTCATCCTGAATGGAATGTCATTTTTTATGGGTTGTCTATTCAACATTGGTTGTGAGGGGGGAAAGATACAAGACCCACCACAAAAGGAATATCATCAAGAGTCAAATCACATGCCCATTTTAAGTTGCTCAGATCTAAATTTGAAGTTGTTGGTTATTGTTAATTGTGAGATGCTTACTGACGTCATTTGTCTCCCTTGATGTTTATGGTTCATAATTCTTTTAGGACATAATGACTTGATAGTTCTCACAACAATGAGTTAAAGTGTTTTATTGGTTAGACAGTTGGAGTAAGACTCAGAAGGCCTGGGTGCAAGTCATTAATTGCCTTGAAAATTCACCACAGCATACAAACAAACAGGGCCATTATTATATTGTGTTAACAGCCTTTGGCTCATGTTCTTACATATGGATTAGTAAATTAACAGATCTTAACTACTCAGTATGTCAACCAACCTGATTTGAGACTCATTTTTAAGATGTCAGATATATGAGTTTTAAAAGTTTTCTTTCCTTTATTAAAAATCTGAGTTTTTGTTGTTGTTTAGTCGTTAAGTTGTATCCGACTCTTCATGACCCCATGGACCAGAGCACGCCAGGCCCTCCTGCCTTCCACGGCCTCCCAGAGTTTGGTCAAGTTCATGTTGGTAGCTTTGATGACACTGTCCAACCATCTCGTCCTCCGTCGGCCCCTTCTCCTCTTGCCTTCACACTTTCCCAACATCAGGGTCTTTTCCAGGGAATCTTCTCATGAGATGGCCAAAGTATTGGAGCCTCAGTTTCAGGATCTGTCCTTCCAGTGAGGACTCAAGGTTGATTTCTTTCAAAATGGATAAGTTTGTTCTCTTTGCAGTTCAGGGGACTCTCAAGAGTTTCCTCCAGCACCACAATTCAAAAGCATCAATTCTTCAGCAGTCAGCTTTCTTTATGATCCAGCTCTCACTTCCATATACAGTATCGCTACTGGAAAAACCATAGCTTTGATTATGCGGACGTTTGTCAGCAAGGTGATATCTCTGCTTTTTAAGATGTTGGCTAGGTTTGTAGTAGTCTAGGTTTGTAGGCTTTCTCCATAATCCAGCGCATGTTAGCAATTTGGTCTCTAGTTCCTCTGCCCCTTCAAAATCTAGCTTGTACTTCTGGGAGTTCTAGGTGCACATACGGCTGAAGCCTATCTTGTAGGATTTTGAGCATAACCTTGCTAGCGTGGGAAATGAGTGCAAATGTACGGTAGTTGGAACATTCTTTGGCACTGCCCTTTGGGATTGGGATGTAGACTGATTTTTTCCAATCCTCTGGCCACTGCTGAGTTTTCCAAACTTGCTGGCATATTGAATGTAGCACCTTAACAGCATCATCTTTCAAGATTTTAAATAGTTCAGCTGGAATGCCATCACCTCCACTGGCC